AGCCAGTACTGCTGCAAGTGTATGTGATCTCGTTTTGAAAATTGGAGTCGTCATCAGCTGCACGCGGGATCATCGGCGTGCCATTGGAGTAGCGAAAGTTTCGGAAGTGCACGTTGCTAAAGACCAAAACCTGCAGAGTGCCAGGCGACCTTGCCTTTCTTACCTCTTGCTAGTGAATAAAGATGAATAGAGGTCTAAAGGTACAAGGAATAAAGCCATGAAGAAGGATAAGCACTTTTAATATTCTTAATTCTTGTTTCTAATAGCTTCGTGTTTCTAGTAGTAAGGCCCTTTGCTACTAGTAGCTTCTTGTTACTAGTAGTAAGGCCAGGAGCCCCTAGGAAATCGAAAGTAGAGTGACGAATCCTTTCAAATCAAACACACATTAAGAGTTGTTGCACAAGTTCAGCGGGTCTTGGTCTTTCGTCGTGAAGGAAGAACAGCAAAGCAAAAAGAGACCGACAGGTCCTGTTAGTGTATAGTCTTCTTTCGTTTGCATAGTGTATGTTTTGCCTCCTTTCTCCAAATTTGGCACTAAATGGGGTTCTTCACTGTTAACAGTAGGCACTACGCATTGTCTTCAAATGTGCTTCAAAACCTCATAGAAAGACAACCCTCTATGTTGAAGAATCCCATGATGATTCCAAATAGTAAATCTCAAAATCTACTAGATATCCTCAAGAATAAGGAAAACTTTGCCGGTTTCTTCTCTTAGTGTGTTTTGCAGACAAGACCTGTGGCACACCGTGTAATTCGCCAAGCAAAACAAGAAGAATACAACAAAAAGAGAGCCCAATCCTCTGAACCTGAAGTCAGTTAGAGCGACATGTGCCAACTCATGGACTGCCGTCGAGACCAACATATCGACTCCATTCTCCAGCTTCTGAGGGCAAAAGTTGATCGTCCCAAAGATCGGCCGATCGCACTGATCCACCCCACAGGACGTGGCAAATGCCAAGAGCACATCGGAGTTTTGGCATTCCTCGAAGAAAAGCAAACGAGGTCGAGGTCCGCTCGTGCGTGAGTCCGTAGCATCTGACCGTTCGTGAGTCCGTTTCTCCTTTTTGTGAGAGCTGTCAGGAATCGAGATTATACATGTATGTCACGATATGTTTCCCAGGTCAGTGGCGGCTAGTGGGCCATATTGGTACTACAAAAACTGGCTGCTTCAAAAAACAAGATGCCGTTGAGTCTTGAATGGTGACGAAGATATGGAGGTCTTCGTTCTCTGCCCCTGCGCCTTCCGGCGCCTCACTGCACTGTGCCTCACAAACGAAGCCTCCAGTGGTGCCGCTGCCCACCTTCTCAGCAGTCTCCACCGAACATCCATCGGGACAGTCATTTCCAGGAGACAACGAACAGCAATAGCCTCCGGTGCGGTCAATGTCGCTGTGTTTGGGCTCTTCTTTTCGAGCCTGGTAGCGTCCTTGCTCCTAGTAGTAACGCCAGGAGCCCCTAGTAGCGTCCTTGGCGCAATAGCCTCCTCACAGCGAGAAAAACAAGTACATCGATGAGTGTCAACGAGAAACTGCGGCCTTCAAGTGACATTCTCAGAAGAATGTATGCACTAAAGGCCAAACACCCCGTTTGCTACGGTGAACAAGGAAGAACCTGTCTTTGAAGGGTCCAAACACCCCATGTGCTAGAAACTCTTTGCATCCTGGTTTACCTTCACAAGAGTTCAAAAAGGGGGCGAACAAGAACCATGAGGAACAGGAAACCAGCAGGCTGGCAGGGGAACATTGAACGACCAAGAACTAAGTTGGTTTTGCACGTTTTGTTGGTCCCTCTGTTGTGCCTGAGCTGCCACTGCTTTGCCAGAGATCGACGTCACATGCACAGCTATTGCCTCCAGGGCATTTGTTTCTTTGCTTTGAAGCCTGTTAGAAGAGCAGTCAATCTCGGAAAGGTGGTCTTCAAGAAATATGAAAACGCTGCATCACTTGGAAGTGTTCTTCTGGGTCCAAATCAATAGAAGATGCTTTGCAATATTCGCCTGAGATACAGTTCCCAGAACACGCGAAGCTTGGAACCTGCAGTGTCTTGACCGAGAAAAAGAGACTCTTTGATGAGAAGATGACTGAGGCTGAGGATTCAGGCTCATTTGCCCATTCACCTGGCCTTACTACTGGGAACAAGAAGCTATTAGGAGCAAAGGGCATCGCTACCAGTAACAAAGGGCATTACTACTAGTCGCATTCTTGCTACTAGGAACAAGAACGGCACGACTCTACAACCCGTGAGACCCAAGAGCGATGGCCTCCAACCTACTTGCGATGGCCTCCAACCTAGTAGCTTCTAGTTACTCCAAAGCTTCAAAGACATACTAGAAAGCTCTATTAGTCGCGATGGCCTCCAACCTGCAATACCAAGCAACACAGCTTTGCTGGCAAGCCCGGCTAAACTTCCTCAGACACCGATCAGTGAGCAGAGTGGCAGGATGGCTCTTACACAGCTACGCGTCCGTTCCTTTCTTTTCTATTCCCACTCTCGCACTCTGTATATCTCTCTCTCTCTCTCTTTTTGCTCTCATTTCATAGTTCTTATTTGGTTGCTTTCCCTGAACCTTTCTGTAACCTGCTCTCCATCAGTCCAGCATCAGGTACTTGTCTGGCACCGAAACCCCGCCACAGGTGGGCGTGTTCAAGCTTTGGCAGCGATACTCTGTGTCGAATTCCTCAGTACACAAAGTACACAAAATGGAAAAACACATGTTGCAAAAAGGTGTGACATAAGGCTATGACATAAGGGTTTTCCAAATGCCATCGGCCATACAGAACAAAGGAAGCAAGATCGAAACAAAGACAACGGCGACTTTGTGGGAAATTCCAAGCAAAGGACAACACCTTCTGCCACCCAACAAACATCAGTTCATTGCTATTTAGGTTGGAGGCCAACGCTCTTAGGTTGGAGGCCATTCCTATCAGGTTGGAGGCCATTGCTGTTTGGTTGGAGGCCATCGCTTCTAGGGTGGAGGCCATCGCTCTTGGGTGGAGGCCATCGCTTTCAGGTTGGAGGCCTTTCCTATTTGGTTGGAGGCCATCGCTCTTAGGTTGTAGGCCATCGCTCATGCTTGGTTGACTTTTTCTTCGAGGGTCATATTTGAAGCATCCAGCACCCAAGCGATCCATCTTCAACGGTGCTTGGGCCTTGGATCAAGGAGCACTGTCGACTTGAGCTTTGTTGTCCGCAATAAGTAAGTTGGAAGTCTATTGTTCCTAGTAGCTTCTTGTTACTACTAGTAAGGCACTCGTTACTAGAAGCGAGGCACTTGTTTCTACTAAGTCTATTGTTCTTGTTCTTCAATTCCGCGAAGGTTCACCCCTTGGAACTCCAAATCCTATCCTGTAACCGGACAACACTCCGCTCACCTCTTAGCCGAGAGACCCGTCGCACTTGAAGCGCGAAAGACCAATAGGCCACAGCACGTGCCTAGGCATGAAGTTGTCGCAATGGCCTAATAGCGAGGATGGATACTAGTAGCGTTCTTGTTCCTAGTAGCGATGCCAGGAGCCCCTAGAAGCTTCTTGTTACTAATAGCAATGGCATCCAACCTAATAGCGATGGCCTCCTCTTACTGCGATCTATCTTCTACCTCTGTACAATCCCACGCAATCGCATCCTAAAGAAAAGTCTATCTCTAGTCTTGCTACATGCAAACGCGAGCACTTCAGGTCCACTGAGAGCCAGCTGTCATTGTCGGCACCGAAATGAAGGTCCCACTGCAACACCATAGTAACTTTGCTCAAGGTGCCATCAAGGTGTTCTGCACAAGGTCAATCTTGTTGGCAGAAACAGACTCCACATCAAGCAGTTCATATCCGATCCTTCAGGCATAATCGAAGTGAACTCCTTCGTTGGTTCCTTCGTTTCCGTTCCGTTCGTTGCACTGACTTGTCGTCGTCCTGATGTTCTCCCAAGTTGAAGCCTTAGAGGACAGAAGTGGCTACTCGGAAGCATTTTGGTTTGGGACCAACATATGCAGGCCCAGTCAGACGAAAAGACTTTGCTCGCTTGATGACAAATTGCTTTTTGGGGTCAACATGCACACTGCATACAAAATTCGAATGGACAAATCCTTCTGTGACTTCAGACTGGAAGTGAATAAGAATTCCGAAGTGACTACAGATTTGCAAGGAAATTGTGCCCAAATAGATGGTATCTCCGCCAAGAGACCGCGTGGACTTGCTCACATGTCTGCTCTTGCAATCGCCTAGGACCAGAGCTCACCATCTGTCACGACAAACGTCTTCCTTTGCGACTCCACAGACTCCACACAGACTTGTTTCTAATAGCGACCATTGTTCCTAGTAGTATGGCCAGGAGCCCCTAGTAGCGTCCTTGCTCCTAGTAGCGATGCCAGGAGCCCCTAGAAGCTTCTTGCTTCTACACGCCTTGCGTGGGTTTGAGTTCCATAGTCTTGATGGCTGCGATGAATCACTTGCCGCATCTGGAATTCCTACCAAGCAAGAATCACTTGTCGCTTCGTGAAGGTGGAGAAAACTTGTTCCAAATTTCAAGTCGTGCCTCATGGGGGCTGCCAAACACTCCTGACACACTCAAGTGACAAAGGGTCTTTCATGTCTTCGGTCTTGGCATCGGCTTCATGTCTCGGTTGGTCTTCGCTTCGATGCTGCCAAGCTTCCGAGGGCTAGCGCCAACCAACGCGCCATGACCAGAATCTCAAACCGACATGGAAGGGAAGAATCTTGGAGCCACTGTGTTTGGATAACTTCGTATGGTTTGCCCCGAGCATTGCGCAAAAACAATGACTTTACATTCAGTTTTGAACCGTTTTCTACGTGATCGTCGAACAGGTAGGAACGGATGATCTATCTGTGCCTATGGTTCTGGCCAAGCCCGGCAGCAAGAAATCATGTTTAAACAATCCCGCCAAATCCATCACTGCGTTTCAAACATTGCAAAAATGTCACACACAAAAATAGACAAAGCAATGTTTGAAGTCGAAGCAAAGCAACAAAGCACGTGGCCAGGAAGGCTGTGGTTTTGTCCGCAACTGGGACCTCGGTGCCGACTGGGGGAAGTATTGACGCCCCGACGCCTAGTTCAAATGTTGAGTGGCAACACAGGAACTAGCTGCGTGATGACTAGAAAGCTGTATTGTTACTAGTAGCGATGGCCAAACTACTAGCGATGGCCTCCACCTAGTAGCTTAGTAGCTTCGGTCGTTACTAGAAAGCTGCACTTGCCAATTCCCTTACGATATTGCAAAGTATGAACAACTTGGTGGGGCTTTGGGTTTCTGATCCGGAAGCCATGCCTCGCAACCCATATAATGTTGTTGCCCGTTTAATCCTAATTGTTTCACATTGCACGATCGTTCTCACTTGATTTCATGGCCACATCGAGGAACGTAGAAAGAAACAAAGTTGGGAAGATTTGGTGCGAAAGGCCCTTGGATCCGCGCTGAAATTTGTCAGTTTCATGCCAGCCTTCTGTCCTGGTAGGATACGTGTTGTGCACACGATTCTGCTTCCAATAGACTGCACCTGGTTCTATGAAAAGTCAACCTGCAAGCTGAGCAAAACGTCAAAACCGGAAAGCCTGCCTGCCAAAGCTTGTGTTAAAGGCCATTCTGCGGAACCAATCCAAAGATGAGTTACGTACCAAAAAACTTTAACCATGCACACCCACAAGAGTAGGTGTCAGGGCTATCACACATCCCACATGAAGAAGGAAGTATGCTGCAGGCTAACAGTCCTGAGTGCGTGCTGAGAGCCAGAACATGCATCAGAAACATCCATGTTATATTCTCCGAGTCATTAACATTCAATTTTCATGAATACAACCAAAACGCACGCGTAACAAAACCTTGCCTGATATCAACCCAAAGCTGCTGAGGAATTACTGCCGTTCAACGCCAGCCCCAACACTTGCCCAGCCATTTGCTTATATAGATATTTACAATGGGACATAATCTGTATATCTACTATAGGCGTGTACCAAGCATGGACAAATGCAATTCGATGCGAAAATTGAGCAGTTTTCTCGTTGTGCGCTGATAGGATTCAAAGGCCAGAAGTTGTTGGCAGCCATTCTGTCACCTAGAAGATGGCAACAGAGATCTTCAAACCACAGGTGGGGATTGGGTGCCATATTGGGCCAACTATCTTCAGGCCAGAAGTACGAGCGTATTGCTTATATTGTCAATCTCACCATGTTGGTCATGCGCATAAGATTCTGTTTTGGCAATCTGTTGGTACCAGCAGCTATCAGGCTCTTTGGGCTCTTCCCTGAAACCGCAGTGTGCGGCCAACCCTGAGCACCTTGGCGCTTGTCTTTTTTGGGCGATTTAATACGGTTGATTTTTGTCAGCATTTGGTGGAATCAACCCGGGGTTGATTGCGTGCTGAAGGCAATCCCCGGCAACTTCTGGTCACTGCACGAATACGTCCTTTCAAGTTTGCCCATTCTTTGAATGCATGCTGGACAAGATGGTGCAAGATGTGTAATGCATGTTGCTGAGGCCGGAGGCCCACACAGCGTTTTGATGCCACGATGACGATGCTCAAACTTTCTCAGCGTTAGATCCACTGCAGGCCGGGGAAAGCCCAGCCTCTACCGTCCGGAAACAGGATCCATTTTCGAAGATATCAGTATCATGTGATATGTTCTTTGTTGATTTTTGTTGGGAATCTTTACATCTTTAATCAGTCGTAGTGTCCTAGCGTCATAGTAAGACGCTTCTCGGACATTTTACTATAGTGTTCAATCTCACGATGTGACTTTCTACTGCAGAACAGGATTCCACCATCCGAAATCCTCCAAACACGCAGAATAGTGGCCACAATAGTTGTCATCTTGAGTTCTACTATCTATTTTAGGATGAAAACTCGGAGCCACTCCGTGGGCCATAAACCTGGAAACCATAGCTACACTGATTGCTGGTCTGTTGGGTAACACCACGGAGCAAGGCAAGCTGCGGGTCGGCTCAGAGAGATGAACCAGCTGGGTTTTTATTGTTTCTACATCATTGATACATCAAAAAATGGACGACACGTTTTATCTACACTTCATTGGTGAGTGGTTACATCATTGTTGTTGTTACCTTCCGACGAAACGTCAGATGTAATGATGAAGATCAAGGCGGAGGGGCCCAAAATGAAAGAATGGTGAAACAAAATTGGTGAATTTTTTTGACTTAACAGTGATCAATATGATCGCTTAACGGACTTTCCCCAGCACTATAACTGATTTTTTCCATTGGTGATCGACCTTTGGAGTTGTCCCCCTGAGTTCACCGGGTGAGGAAAACGGTGCTGGCTTCCATGGTGGAAACCCCAAATGGATTTCCATTTGTCATTTGATTCTTGGACCTTTTGTCCGCAAAGTTTGCTTTCTGAACCTGTCCATCAGGTTCTCACGGACGTATTCCCAGACGTTTATTGGTGGCTAAGATGGGCTAGGTTTAAGGGGTGAAGGGTCAAAAAAATTTAAAAAAAAATCAAACACATAATAAAGCAATGAGATCAAAAGAAAAATTAACAAAGATCAACAAAAATTCAAAATCGGGTGACGTAGTAACAAGAACAATTGACAGACGGGGATCAAAAACAAAACAAATAAGAATCAACAAAGAAAGAACAGTAATGTGTGCAGTGGCAGCAGTAGTAGTGACCGTCGTCGTCGTTGTCGTCGTTGTCGTCGTCGTCGTAGTAGTACCTCGCTCACCTCACTCGCGCGCTCAAAAAATAACTCCCTTGCCCGCTCTGGCGCCTGCCTCCTTTGTGAGCCACAGGCGTGCTACCTTAGCGCGTGGCTCCTTCCTCCTCTAAATTTGGTTCTCGGGCGGCTCACAAAAGGACTGACGCCTTCCTCCTCCAAGTTTTGCCCGCGGAAGGCTTACCTTGGAATGGCCGCTTCCCTCCTCCTGGTGGCTCACAAAAAGGTCTGCTACCTTCGAATGGCTCCTAGCTCTCACCTGAATATTGCCTATAATGCGTCCTGCAAGCAGTTCATGTAAGCACTGCTCTACTTCAATGTCTACTTCAATTTATTTCGTTCTTTGTGTCTTTCGTTTTTTCTTTCTTGCTTTCTTTCTTTCTTTATTTCTGTCTTTATTTATTGTTTTATGTGTTTCTTTCTTTTTTTCTTTCCTTCCTTCCTTCCTTCCTTCCTTCTGTCTTTCTTTATTTATTTCGTTCTGTTTTTCTTGCTTTCTGTCTTTCTTTCTTTCTGTCTTTCTGTCTTTCTTTCTTTCTTTTATCTATTTTCTGTTCTTTCTTTCTTTCTTTCTGTCTTTTGTATTTCTTTCTTATTTTCTTTCTTCTTTCTGTCGTTCTTTCTTTCTTTCTTTATTTATTTCTTGCTTTCTTTCTTTCTTTCGTTCTTTCTTTCTTTCTTTCCTTTCCTTTCCTTTCCTGTCCTTTCTTTCTTTCCTTTTTTTTCTTTCTGTCTTTCTTTCTTTCTGTTCTTTTCTGTTCTTTTCTTTTCTTTTCTTTTCTTTTTTTTCTTTTCTGTTCTTTTCTTTTCTTTTCTTTCTTTTCTTTCTTTCTTTCTTTTCTTTTCTTTCTTTCTTTCTTTCTTTCTTCCTTTCTTTCTTTCTTTCTTTCTTTCTTTCTCTCTTTCTCTCTTTCTTTCTTTCTTTCTTTCTTTCTTTCTTTCTTTCTCTTTCTCTTTCTTTCTTTCTCTCTCTCTCTCTCTCTTTCTTTCTCTCTCTCTCTCTCTCTCTTTCTGCCTTTCTTTCTTTCTTTCTTTCTTCCTTTTTTTCTTTCGTTCTTTCTTTCTTTCTTGCTTTCTTGCTTTCTTGCTTTCTTGCTTTCTTTCTTTCTTTCTTTCTTTCTTTTCTCTCTTCTCTATTGTTTCTTTTTATCCCTGCTTGTTGTTGTCTTGAGCCCTACATATTTTTTGTTGATCCCCATTTGTTTTGCTATTGATCCCTATTTATTTTTTTATTGATCACTATTTATGTTTTTTTTTGATACCTCTCCCGGTTTAAGAGTATGGCTGTTGAGCCCACATCAAAGTTCGCATGGATATTCTATGACATTCTGCAGTGTTGAGTAGTATGGCTGCACGGGGTTGAAACAGGAACCTCACATGAAAACATTAGTGGATTCAAGCACCCTGTACAATCATAGTGGTTGCATTAAATGGTGATCAGAAGAGCAATGATTTGTACAAATTAGTTCCTGCACACATGTTAATGTAACTGATTAAACCAAGTTCTGTCAGTTCTGTACATCTCATCTTCTTGAAGCCAGCCTCCCTTATGCTTCCTCTGCCCAGAGGCTCACCTTTTCCCGCCAGCGCTCGGCGACTGAATGTTTGAACTTTGATTTTTGCAGTTATGTGAAGGAGAAGTTCATGAGAATTTGCGGAAGGATTAAAATTCATGCAGGTTTCCTGATTTCCACCTTTCTTGTCTGGAACCTTGGAAGATTATCTTGAAACCTATAGCTTCTCCCTGTCTGGCTCCGAGGTCCGAGGTTAAACTACTGCGCTCAACAGCTGTGAGGCGGCTGCAGCCAGCGACATTTTAATGGATCCAATCCAAGTTGTGAGTTCTTGGAGATGAATGCGCACATCTCACACCCATAAATCTCACACCATCTCGACACGCCACATGTGAATGAACATTCTCAAAATGCCCCGCCTCCTCCTGCACTTCATTGCCAGCGTGCAGGTCGGCGCGCAACTCAAACAAGGAGCTCAACACCTGGGCTTCCAGGTCCAGTTCGGCAGGCGGCGCTGGCGCTGCAGCTGCCTGAGCCCACTTATCAGTTGGCTGTTGACTCCGGAAGCATCACAGGTGTCAGCTCCTCTGCGTAGCGATAGCTCTTAAGGTTGCAAAAATACTGTACGTCTTACGTCGGCAAGAACTTGTTCACTGCCTCATTGGTTTGCCTTTTGCCCCACGCATCTCTATCTTTGGTTTACTGGTCTAGCGCTCCAAATTCATCTTGGGATACAGTAGCATTAAAAATTGACTTGCAGCATTAGATCGTTGGATGAAGAAACCCAAGCCCTTGCGACAACAAACTGGCGCAGCGGCCACCTAGAAGTGCGTTAGCTTGCGCCGGCAGCCCCTCGACGCACTGGCCGACGGCGCCCCCTCATTTTGCTTCGCCTTCCCTGGTTTTTCTTGCTTGTTTGGCACCCTCAATTGGTCCGATCTTGCGCTCTCCGAGTTTTGTTCTTTTAACTTTGCTCTTGGTTTCCCCCTTTCAACTTCTGTTTGTCTCGCCATTGCTCGTGGAATATCGCGCGCCATCACTTTCCGTGGTTTCAATGGGTTGTGGTTGAATGGGAGCCCTCGTCATTGCGTTCCTACTTTATTTGTTTTCAGCGTGCTCTCACTGCCCTTCACTCTTCAACACCACCTTGGTTGCTCGCTCCGAAACGTGCTTCCTGCGAGTTCTGAAGATTGCAGTTGACCAAGGTCAATAGCGCATTATAGAATCTTAAGCAGGGAAAACTTGACCGGTCACGAGATCTGGCTAGGTGGTGCGGCGATAGCCATGATAGGTTAGTTGGCCTGTGGTATGACGGTCGTTCTTTGTGATGTTTGATCCGGTGATGGTTGTTGCGTGATAAGTCTTGATCAAACCGCTGCGCCATGAACATCTGGCTGA